AAGTTTTGGTCAATTGGAAAAAAGTTTGCGAATATTCATCGCTGCCTTCTTTAAGATATCCTTCACTTCGTAATATTTATTTATGGCTTCTCTTGTTCCATTTGCTGACAACATGACGTTATTTAAATATGAACCCTCCTGATCTCTAACGCTGTCTGGCTTTCGATCGTTTCTAGATGATGATTGATTGTTGCTACTAGCAAAAACGGTGATGATATTACTCCAAAACATTGATAACATTTCAGGTTTTCCTCGGTAACCGCACATTTAATATCATCTTCCCAGAGGAATATGGTACAGTTCCTGTCGGACTGATGCAGTTCTAACTGTAAAAATGCCTTCTCGACGTCGGCTATGATTTCATTCTTCATCATTCAAAAGCGCAATAGTATTCCTACTAAATCTGGAAGCATGATAGGTCCGCGATATAAGACTTCGTTTAAACTTTTTGTTCCCTTGAGATGCGCCGAAGCATCATGGACTATTTTGAGTTTTGTTATAGGTTTGTGCGGGGGTACCACCACCTCATGATGAGATAGTAAATTATACCTTCTTGATCCATATTAGGATGAACTTCCTCAATTATGCCTGACCGCAGTTGATCCTGAATCGTTTCGTTGTACCGTCGAAGTATGTCTTCATTGTTCTGGAGTCTCCCGATCAAGGTTTTAAGGCGTCCGAAGCATAGTCCATAATAGCTTTTTAGTTTATCCATTGAGTCTTTCCAAGGCTAATAATTTGGTATCTCCCGTCTTGTTTCGTTATACTTTTCTTGAATTGTTCAAAGGTTTGCTCATCATCGTTTTCGTTCGGCTGGTCTTGGATACCCATCAGTTCTAACTTCTAAAAGCGATTGATGTCATTGTGGCTCGTTACGCTAGCCATGCCTGATACGGTTGGGGTTCTACCCCAGAATCCTCTTCATAATTTCGGGTCACCACTGAATGTTGGTAGTAGTAATTGTGGCAAATTTACTGTCTGCTGAGACATTTGGGAGGGCTCCATTTGTTGGAATGGTTCGATATTTATTTTGCTTTGCTATAGGCCTTGTGCTGCTAGCTCAAACTCATCCTTGTACATATCTAAAGTTATAATAGTTTCTTGACCGTCATTTATTAAATTTAAAAGACTTTTATTATCGTCGACCATATTTGCGTATTTGTCTTCTTCCTTTCTTTTTTTTCTTTTCTTTTTCTTTTCTGCGCATTCTTTTGTTTCTGGATATACTCCAACCACTTTTCGTTGATTAGAGTGTATCAACATAGAGTTTCAGACGCCTTATTTTTTCTTATATAGTCCTCCTCTTGAGTTCAAATTACTGCTGCTTTTCATCCACCGATAAATGTTGATCAGGAGGCGTTAAGTTCATTGCTTTTACTTCGTAGAGAAGATCCTCCAATTTTTGCTTTGCCGGTTGAGCACTTTTGATTATAGTATCCGACATTCCCGCCCCGTGGCACCAATTTTTGTTGCCGGATTTCTCAATCTCAAACTTGGGTAATTAAACATTTATTTTTCAAAACTCGGTAATACAGAAACGAATTCAACAATTATATATCAATATGAACAAAAGGGGGACCAAAAACCAAATGACGCCCGTTATCGTCTTCCCAACCGACCTGTTGGCACACGTCTTTCGAAAATGATTTGGCGCTCAGGACCTTCTTCTTCTCATTGCTGCAATTTCGCGTTATGACTTTCGGAGTTTTTTTCCGACGGGATATGCTTTTATTTTTCAAATTTTATTTTATTTCGCTTGCTTTGAAGAGAGCTAGCGCCAGTATCTTAAGTAGTCCTAATATTTTTGTATTTTACATGTCTTGTCCATTAACATAACGCGAACTATCTTCGGATCCCTTATTAAATTATCATTGATCACTGGTACTCTCCAATTTCTCTCGATATTCAGCGTATTGGAACTATATGATGATGGTGGGATAATTTCATACTCTTACCTATTTAAATATTTTCTAGTAATAGCATCCTTTTATATTATTGTCGGACTTTTAAAAAAAATTTTTCTTCTCTTCAAAAAGAAATGATGGATTTTTTCTTTAAAAAAATTGGCTTCTAATTTAAAAATCAAAATTGCAATTAGATATCCTCATCTTTTCATTTCTTCCATGGTCAGTCGCAATGGTTTTAATCATTCAATAAACTAATGTCAAATCAAAGTAATAATAGCATCCAAAACAGATATAGTTTGAAATGCAGAAGAATTTCGAAGATGAAGGTAATCCAAAATTATATCAGGTATACTTTGCATTTTAGTTAGGGCCAATAGAAATCAAAAATGTATTATCGAAAGAAATTCCTATTATACATAAAGGAAAGAGAAATATAACCCCTTAAAATTCCTACACATAACCTTCAGATTCAGAATGTAATAAAAATGAATTACAACACAATAAGTGTTACGTACTCGTTTATGTATAATAATATCAAATTAGCTACACTAAAAACAGTGCTCGTTAAACCATTGATAACTACTCTTGTCATAACTACTGTTACCAGTGGTTTATGTTATCAACAGTAAACACTGATAACAGTAAAAAGAAAATCGAACGATGACTCTAACATTATCAAGGTTTAGTTTTCTGATCTGATCCAGAAAAGTGCCTAATCAAATACTTTAGCAATGAATGACAATAATTATATTAGAATTATATCAGCAGCACCGAAAGAAATTTGTGGCCATTCAAAGCTAGTCAAATAAAAGCAAAGGTCCATCTATTCTGAGTAAGCAAACATGAGTTATGTTTACCAATAAAGTGAACTGTCCATTCCGATCGTTAGCATCGAGCACTCCAAATTCAAGTTTTTAGTTTAGCTTTCTGGTAACATTCTGTCTAAGACCAATGTGTAAATTCTTAATGGCATTTCAAAATCTCTGAATGCCAGACATTCCATTACAGCTCTGTACCCTGTACAACCAACGGTCATCAACCACACCCATCGCAGCTTGTGAACCACAATGTTTTCTGAATGTAGGAAGAAACTGTTCAGGATTTTATGGTCCCAGTAGTAAAGCTAACTTTTCGTAAAATAATGGGATGTATTTTTGAAATTTGTTCAAAAATTTTATTTAGTACCTCAGAAAGTATCTAATTTTTCGAGCGCTTCAGCGGAAACAATCATTTTCTAACTTGTTCGTATTATTCCGCTTATACCTATACCAGCAGTGGTTCACCTTCCTTCGAGAGTACATGGATAGATGTTCTGGTAATGTTTAGGTATTGAAATTACTTGTTTGTTTACTCGTTTATTATATTTCAAACAATAAAGGTTGCATAGGAATAATAGAAAAGCACCAAAACAATTATTTCTTCGCATGGGAACATTCGACAAAATTTGTAAGAAACAAAAGCATAGAAAAAATGGCAGAATACTATTGTACAAGGAGGGCAGTATTTATACGATTAAATCAACATTTTTGCTTGTTTAGAAGAAAGTTTTTTCGGTTCCTAGAAATGATTCAAATTTCTGGATGCTTAAGTCTTCACTTTAGAAAGATCAACAAAGAACATTAACGAAATGATTTCTCATAAATTACAGAATTGAAGGATTGTTATTCATTAATCTTTAAAACCTTATATCCAATATCTTTCGATTTGAGGCGCCTTCCTTTTTCCCTCTTTCTATACTCAACAAAACCTAAACTTTTTCCATTCTGCTATTGTATTTGACGTTAAAATTCAACAACAATTCTGTCTTCTTTTTTTAGATCGATTTCTTACTGAAATTTTGATAAATCTGAAATCACGTCTGATTGATTCCTTGCAAATTTTAAGAAATTTTCAAAAGAAAAATATAAATAACAAGCGAGGAACTTTTTACAAAAATGAACAAAATATTTTCGAATTTTCAATTTCTATTTAAATACATTGAGTAAGACATGGCACCGTTAACTTGCAGAATTGTTCATTTATAATACAATATTTTAATTCCCTCAAAGTTCAAATAAGGAGAAATTGTAAAGGAAATGAAGTGATACATGAAAAACAATGTAAGTATTGTTAATAGGTTGATTGGGTACCACAATATTTTGCTATTGTGGCACTAAATTTTAAGAGTTGAATGTTTATCGTTAGTTCTAACACCGATTTTTCCAGATTTAACATACTAAATTCCTTGAGGGAGAAAGTCTAAGAGGATTACTAAGAATGGAATGGTTGGAATAAATTCGTTATTCTGAACAATCATTTCAAGATACGCGTAAGTTTCTAATTTCGGTTCATTTTTTTTTCCAAAGTTCTTATTGATAAACTATCAAGTAAAAGAAATTAAAAAGTGGAGAATCAGAACGAAGCGAGTGGTCGTTTAAACTGAATCAAGACGAAGGGAGCGATCGTTTGAACTGAATCAGGTTGAAGGGAGTGATCGTTTAAAGTGAATCAGGACGAAGAGAGTGATCATTTGAACTGATATATGTACATAAGATGCATTCATTGAAGTAATTAAAAGCTGTGACTACCCAAAAGTATGATAAAATGATACAGAAATAATACTACTATGTATTGGAAAGATTGTTGTGGTTATGCAGAAATCGAAAAACTCCATTTGAAACAAACATTTTAAGTAATACGTTAAAAACAAAAAATAAAAAAATAAATCATCTCCAGTCATATTACCATAACTCTTCTGTAACGAAGAATTGCATTAAAATGAGTGAAGAAATTACGATCAAAATGAATGGCCTATAACTTTATATACAACAAATAGTTTTGAGCCTCATTATAGCACTGATTATGTGCAGAAACATCAGTCAAATGTGAATTTGAAAGCTCTGTGCAACACTCATGCTTCATACTCTAAGTTATATTATTCCTCTCCGCTCAAACAATCTTCGAAATAAGACGCATTGCATTTATTAAATCTTAGGTTGCTCATTGGTGAAACTTACAGAATTATAAAATTCAAAAACTAATATTTACCGAATCCTTACTAATATTAATAACATCTATCTCATCAATATTCCGTATGGAAAGGCGTTAAATTCAAGATTCATTTACCACAATAACAAATAAGGATGAACATTAAAATATGTATAACATTCAACAAAAAATGTCGCTGTTAGATAACTCTCCTGGCTGTAACCGAAGTGTAGAGTTTTTTGTTAATTTCCACTTAATATTTACTCGAATATTTCAAACCTTAAAAAAGTATTTTGGTAATTATAGTCGAAAATTAACTTAATAATTTTCATTATAAACTTTTTTTACATAAAGAAATAACTTTGATTTACATTATCTAAATAAGTGTCTGTCCATACATTCGCTTCTCGAATCAATAAAGTCCGGATTTCGTTATTACGCAATATTTTTTTCTATCTAAATGGGGTTAAGGGGGGGTTAATAAGAATTAATTAATTTTAACTTATATTCCAACAACAATGTCATCTACATTGTTGTTGGAATATTACGAAATCAAATGACTTTTGTTCCATCAAAATATAAGAATTATTTAGGGATAAGAAAACTCAGATTTCCAGAAACAAGCCTAAAACAATATTTCCGAAAGTTAGGAAACCCACTGATAAATTTTTCGAATTTATGAAACTATTTAATGTTTTAGTTGACATTTCCACAGTTTTTTTTGAATCTACATTCAGCCTAACTTTTCTTACATATTCCTATAGAGGCAATAATTATTAACAACTTAATTAATGAGTTACTCGTATATAGATATAATTGTAATTAAAATGTTAGCAAATGAAAACCACTGTCCAATTTTCGTCTAATTTCAAAGTCCTTTTATTATTATTTTGAGAAATAAGAGAGATAAAGACATTAACGGTAGATTTTTGAAATGCTCTAGAATGTATTATATTACGGAAAGAGCAGAATTTAAAAACAAGAATGAAATAATCATGTACAGGAAGTAAATCTGAGAATTAATTAGTTACAACTGACGTCATTTTCCTCTCTCATTCGTACATTTAACTTTTTACATAAGGTAACACAAAATTACTAGCCTAAAGATTACTAGAAAAATCTAATGCATGCAATGTTTTATTATTAAAAACATATTGGCCAACCTATGACTTACTGCAAAAATTGGAAAATAGTGTGTTAAAGTTCCTGGTGTCCATACTTATCCACCGGCCACATACATTCACATGAGCTTGGCACATTAGGAATCGTATATGGATGCCAACTATGGGAACCAATTCTCCGGCGCGAAAAGTGTTGGTCCTTGTAGTTCTGCACACAGCGTAACATGCCATGCACACACGTCTGTAAGTTTAACTATTTTGAATTGGAAATACTTAATTATTCAATACTTTCCATTATAAAAGTTAGTGAGTTCTACAGTTCAGTCAATGAAGGCCAATGAGTATAATATAAATCTTGAGATCATTTCATTGATGTTTCTTAAATTCTCAGTTTTTGGTTTCAAAATTTACAGAGTTTGTGTTGCTGGATATTTTTAATAGAATCAAAATTTTTATTAAAATAACCTTAGATTGTATTAAAAAATTTTCAACTGTCAACAGT